ACCTCTCAATACAAAGTACAAGATAACACAGCGGAAGACTTAGATACCAGTGATCCGGACAATCAAGATTGCAATGCAGCCCTGAACATACATCAACATCATCGTTACATGGTGTGAATGGGGTCTGGCGCTTCACACAGGAAGACTGCGCCAGCCCCTACCATACCCAGACGAAGAAGAAGGGGTTAGACGAAGAGGAGGGGAAATATGGGAATGTCGTCAACACCAAGTCTTCGGCACAGGCCCAAATAGTCCCTCGTCGAAATGTCTGAATCCCAAAGGTCAAGTCTGGATCCAATGTCGTTAAGTCTCAAGTCACAACTCTGTCTCTCTCTGTCGTAGTCTGAGAAGTCAGGTGGTGAGAGGGTGAGAAGAGATGGTGGACTTAGAAGAGGAAGAAGAAGAACTCTCTCTCTCTCTGTGTCTAGTACTAACCTGTGAAGTTGGTGCCTTGATGCAGGTACCTCGCAGATGGAGCTGGAGCGATGGCGCCACAGGTAAGTACCACTGGCCTCCGCCAGTGTCTCTCCCAACTCTACTATCTACCACCTACCAGCGCCCAGCGCTGAAGACTATTGCTATGGCTATGGGCGCCCAGCGCCGAAGACTACAGCTAACGCTGAAGACTACTGCCTAGCGTTGAAGACTACTGCAGCGCTCCTCCTGAGTGCTGCGCTGAATCCTGAAGACTACTCGTGCCTACTGACAACTACCTCCCCGTGAAGTGCATGGGAACTTCCTATGTACTACCGGGTGCCTCCTGACTGCAGGCGAGGCAGTCCAGGAGGCTGCTCTTGCCAATGCCTATGGGAGGCAGGGGCTGCAGCTGCAGCTCCTGCTCGAGCTGGCGTGGGGAACAGGCTATTTCTGGCCTGTTCCGAAACCCTGTTTTCGTGCCTGAGTCTTAGGTAGGTCGAAACAACGAGGGCCTGAAAATGGCCCTCCGTTTTAGGCTAAAAAACCTCTGGGCCTGAAAGGCCCAGAAATAGGCTGAAACGGAATAGGGCCTGCAGACCCTCGTATTTCAGCTTTCAGGCTGAACGACGGGGGCCTGTAAGCCCTAAGTTTTAGGCTTTTAGGCTGAAAGTGCGGGACGGGCCCTGCAGGGCCCGTGTGGCTACGCAGTACTATTGGTTCGAGGTCACGACTATCTGGTCTCATGTGTATGACGCGGTTTGATTTATGAAGTTCACTATTGCTCATTTTCCTTGCATAACTGCCAATTCCCAAAAAAAAAGAATTCTTGGAATTCCTTCTTTAACACAGATTCGTTGTTGTTTTTTTTTCACTACACAGCAATTGAGAATGAATTTTCCGTCGGAACATGGAAAGATGCACTGTCATCATTTTTTTTGTCTTTTGTGCACTGCCATCATTTTTGTCTTTTGTGCATGTTGTGAGTGGCGAAGCGAGGCCCTATGTTTTATTGTATTGATTCATTTTTTTTTTAATTGTCGAAAATCCGAAATTGCGCAGTAGCTGAAGTTTCGATTCTTTTTTTTTAGTGAAATTAAAAAATTCGCTGCTTGACAAATTCCATTTTATTTTTTTTTGTTTCAGAATTCTTTCCTTATGTTAATTCATTTATTTTTATTTTTATTTTTTTGAATCATGCAATTATTAGTAGCTGAAAATTTCAATTGTTTTTTTTTTTTTTTTTTTAAATAGGTCCTTATGGTCCTGGCTCCATATCCATTCTGGGAAGCGTCAGTCCGGTTCCTATTCCCCCGGCAAGTCAAAATTGAATACAAAATAGTACCCACACACGCTTCCTTCCGTCTGGCCAAAGGAACCCTAACCAACATTGATTGCTCCTGCTAAGGAGGATTGACTGTCAGCTTGCCCAAACCACTTGTTCCTCTCAAGCTTCTATTCAGAGCCTGTCAGATAACTCTTTGCACAGCAAGAACCGCGAACGGGTCCGCTACACGCTATGTTGTTTGTCATTGTCCTTCTCTGTGTACCCTTTGAGTACTGTGGTTGCTCGCAGTTCCGACTCTTTTGCCAGGTAGCCCGGTGGGGCTCAACCGTCATTGTGGTAAAGCCTGGTGCCATTTCTTCCATCTCAATCTGTTGTCTACTATCGTAGCCACCTTGCCCTTTAGCAACCATTCTCTCTTGAATGTCTGCTTCCTGCTTGCTTGTCTTTCAGGTCTGTGTTGCATAGAGGTCGCTATTCTCTGCCATCTGCTCCTGATTTCCGTCTCTTCCATGCTCAGTAATAGAGACCACATTTCTTCCTTTGCCACCTCTGCTTTCTCGATTGTCCGGGTGCATCTGCACTTCCATATTACCCACAGTGCCAATTTCCTGAGCAAGAGGAACCAGACTTCCCTGCTGCCCTTGATGTTGTTGGGAGTGTTAGATAGCAGTAAGATAGAGAGGGGAGGGTTGTTGGGGGGGGGGTGTTGAGAACAGGGTTGACCACAGCTCCCGGACATTCTTCCAGATCCATGTTGCTTCTGGACAGGATAGGAGGCAGTGAGGGATGTTCTCGGGTGAGTTGTTCTTGCACAATGAGCAGCTTTCCAAACTCTCCGGGTCGGAATGCTTCCTTCTTGCATGTAGCAATTGGTTGACGGGAAGGGCTGTTTGTGCTATCAGCCATTGCATGTTGCGGATACGGTTTGGGCGGATAAGAAGGTATTTAGTCCATGGGATGGTGATAGTGGTCGCAGGTTCTAGGTGGAGGATGGTTCTCCACTTTTCCGCCAGCCTTGGGTTCAGGTCAGTGGTTTTTAGTCGGAGCTTATAGCCTGACTTTACGTCATATTCTGTTATCCCCCTTGGTTTCCCAGTGGTGCCCTGGTGGTTGCTGGCTAGGTCGGGTGCAGTTTGGAAAATCTGCAAAAAAACGCTATCCAGTTTGGACAACTGGCTAGGATTGTTTTTTGCAGTTGGGGCTGGGTACAATTGTGGGTTTTTTTGCAAACTAGATTTGAGTCGGATCCAGTTCACAACATACACAAAGATTGCGAGCACTGCTAATCCATCCAGTCCGAGTCTAAGGCTTGTACGAGCAATATCAAAGTTTGCAATAATGTTTCCTTCTGAAAAGGAGGAGGTACCAGTTGGTTGGGAGGCCGAGCGGCCTGGAAGTCACCGCCCAGGAGGCAAGTAGGCCGCTATATCTAGAGGTTGAGCGAAGAGTCCAGCCTCATTCTTCGGTGTGCAAGTTTAGCGACATGCTGCTGGAGCGCTGGCTACTACAGCGCTGCTGGGAGGAAGAAGCCTGGGAGCTTCCACCTTGGCTGTGGTGGAGCTCTACCGGTAGGAGGAGGAGGGAGAAGAGGACCAAGGAGGAGAGTGGCCAGGTACCTACCTGGCTATGGTGGACACCATCTTCATCACCTTGTTAGGCGATGCATCTGGAAGGCCTTAGTTGGGGTAGTGCCACATCAAGGAAGCTCGGGACAAAATCAGGCATGGCGACTGAATGGGCAGCGACATAGCTGCCTTGTGTTGACCTTGGGACAGGAGAGCACCGACATAGCTGCTTTGGCTTGTCCTTTGGACGAGAGGGTAGAGCCCTCAGTACTCCGCCATAGCCTCGGCCTACAAGAAGAGGAAGAGGAAGGATGGCCATGGCTATGGTGGACCTCATGTTGTGCCTGCAGTAGAAGAGGGATTCAGACATTGATTCTGGTTCATGCTTTCAACATTATTATTGTTATTTCTTGTTTGAATAAGAGGGGAGGAGATACAGAGGAGGAGACTGGTTGGCGAAGAAGAAGAGCATTATCTTTGGTCTATTCTGGAGTACATCATCTTCTACTTCTGTCTTTCTTCTTCTTCTTCTTTCTTTTTTTTTCTTATTTTTCCTTCCCTATCTCTCCTTTCAAGTTCATCATTCCTTTTTGCAATTGGACGGCATTGTACTTTCTAATGAATGTATACTTCGAAATTGGCCAGGATCGTAACATTGGTGACGACTGGTGCAATAAGTCTCGAATCTTGTTGTTATCAACTTTGGGATCCCTATTGACAATCATCTTTGTCAACTCGATGTGTAAAGGCTGGATGGTTTGG